GGTGGCTCAGGTGACACTGGGGGTGACACTGGGGTGGCACTGGGGTGGCACTGGGGTGACACAGGTGACACTGGGGGTGGCATTGGGGGTGGCACAAGGGACACGGGGGACACTGGGGGTGGCTCAGGTGGCACTGGGGACACCGAGGGCGGCACTGGGGACACACAGGTGGCACTGGGGACACTGGGGGTGGCTCAGGTGGCTCAGGTGGCACTGGGGACACTGAGGCATTGGGGACACACAGGTGGCACTGGGGACACACAGGGGACACCAGGGATGGCACCGGGGACACTGGGGGTGGCTCAGGTGGCACTGGTGGCATTGGGGACACTGGGGACCCACAGGGGACAGAGGGAGTGGCATTGGGGACACTGAGGCACTGGGGTGGCACAGGTGGCACTGGGGACACCGGGGACAGAGGGGACACTGGGGACACTGGGGGTGGCTCCGGTGGCACTGGGGACACAGGGGGTGACACTGGGGGTGGCATTGGGGACACCGAGGACACTGGGGACACTGGGGGTGGCTCAGATGGCACTGGGGACACTGGGGGTGACACTGGGGGTGACACTGGGGGTGGCATTGGGGTGGCACTGGTGGCATTGGGGACACTGAGGCACTGGGGATACCGGGGACACTGAGGGTGGCATTGGGGACACCGGGGGTGGCACTGGGGTGGTGGCACAGGGGACACAAGAGGTGGCCCTGGGGACACTGCGGGGGTGGCTCTGGGTGACTCAGGTGACACCAGGGGTGACAGAGAGGGTGGCACAGGTGGCACTGGTGACACTGGGGACACTGGGGGTGGCCCTGGGGGGGGGACACCGAGGGTGGCACCAGGGACACTGGGGGTGACATTGGGGGTGGCACAGGTGACACTGGGGGACATTTGGGGATTTTGGGGCGGATTTTTGGGGCGGAATTTTGAGATTTGGGGTGGAATTTTGGGGGGGATTTGGGGAATTTTGGGGTGGAATTTGGGGTTTTTGGGGTGGATTTTTCGGGTGGATTTTTTTGGGATTTTTGGGGTGGAACTTGGGGGTTTTGGGGTGGAATTTGGGGTTTTTGGGGTGGAACTTGTGGTTTTTGGGGTGGATTTTGGGGATTTTTTGGAGTGGGTTTTTGGGGTGGAATTTTGGAATTTTTGGGCGGATTTTTGTGGAATTTTGGGGTGGAATTTGGGATTTTGGGGTGGAATTTTGGGTGGAATTTTGGCATTTTTGGGGGGGAATTTTTTTTTTACTTTTGGGGTGGAATTTTGTGATTTTGGGGTAGAATTTTGGGATTTTGGGGTGGAATTTGGGATTTTGGGGTGGATTTTTGGGGAGTTTTGCGGTTCAATGTTGGGATTTTGGGGGTGGAATTTGGGGAATTTTCAGGGTGGATTTTTGGGATTTTTGGGGTGGAATTTTGGGATTTTGGGCGTGGATTTTTTGGGGTTTTTGCGGTGGAATTTGGGGGTTTTGGGGCGGATTTTTGGGGTGGATTTTTTGGGATTTTGGGTCGGATTTTTTGGGACTTTTGGGGTGGAATTTTGGGATTTCAGGGTGGATTTTTGGGGTGGAATTTTGGGATTTTGGGTTGGATTTTGTCCCGTCTCACCTGTCCATGTCTCACCTGTCCCTCACCTGTCCCCTCACCTGGCAGGTGTGGGCACGGGTGTGGGGCTCACCTGTCTCACCTGTGTCACCTGTCCCATCTCACCTGTGTCACCTGTCCATGTCTCACCTGTCTCACCTGTCCCATCTCACCTGTGTCACCTGTCCCATCTCACCTGTGTCACCTGTCCATGTCTCACCTGTCCCACCTGTGTCCCTCACCTGTGTCCCTCACCTGTCCATGTCTCACCTGTCTCACCTGGCAGGTGTCAGTGCGGGTGCGGGGCTCACCTGTGTCACCTGTCCATGTCTCACCTGTGTCCAGGTCTCACCTGTGTCCCTCACCTGTCGCTCACCTGGCAGGTGTTGGCACAGGTGCGGGGCTCACCTGTCTCACCTGTGTCCCTCACCTGTCCCTCACCTGTGTCCCTCACCTGTCCATGTCTCACCTGGCAGGTGTTGGCGCGGGTGTGGGGCTCACCTGTGTCACCTGTCCCATCCCACCTGCCCATGTCTCACCTGTCACCTGTCCATGTCTCACCTGTGTCACCTGTCCCACCTGTGTCCCTCACCTGGCAGGTGTTGGCGCGGGTGCGGGGCTCACCTGTGTCACCTGTGTCCCTCACCTGTCCATGTCCCACCTGTGTCCTTCACCTCTCGCTCAGGTGAGGGCACGGTTGGCACGCGTGCGGGGCTCACCTGTCCATGTCTCACCTGTCCCACCTGTCCATGTCTCACCTGGCAGGTGTCAATGCGGCCACGGGGCTCACCTGTGTCACCTGTCCATGTCTCACCTGTCCCACCTGTGTCCCTCACCTGTCCCTCACCTGTGTTCCTCACCTGTCCATGTCTCACCAGTCCATGTCTCACCTGTCCCTCACCTGTCCCTCACCTGTCCCTCACCTGTCCCATGTCTCACCTGGCAGGTGTCGGCACAGGTGCAGGGCTCACCTGTGTCACCTGTCCCATCTCACCTGTCCCACCTGTCCCTCACCTAGCAGGTGTCAGTGCGGCTCTGTCCCTCACCTGTCCCTGTCCCCACCTGTGTCCCCCCTCACCTGGCAGGTGTCGGTGCGGCCATGGGGCTCACCTGTGTCCCCCTCACCTGTCCCTGTCTCACCTGGCAGGTGTCAGTGTGGCTCTGGGGCTCACCTGTCTCTCACCTGTCCCATCCCACCTGTCCCTCACCTGTCTCACCTGGCAGGTGTCGGTGCGGGTGCGGGGCTCACCTGTCACCTGTCCCATCTCACCTGTTCATGTCTCACCTGTGTCCCTCACCTGTCCATGTCTCACCTGTCCCTCACCTGTCTCACCTGTCAGGTGTCAGCGTGGGTGCGGGGCTCACCTGTCCCTCACCTGTCCCTCACCTGTCCATGTCTCACCTGTCCATGTCTCACCTGTCCCTCACCTGTCCCTCACCTGTCAGGTGTCGTTGCGGGGGCGGGGCTGGCCGGCGCAGAGCGCGCTGGGGGTGATGGAGCCGGGGTGGGTGCGGCCCCAGGTGAGCTCAGGTACGATGCACACCTGGCTGCAGGGCAGGGCCTGCGGGAACCTCGCTGCAAACACACCTGGGGTCACCTGGGGGCACCTGGGGGCACCTGGCTGGGGTCACACCTGGCTGGGGTCACCTGGCTGGGGTCACACCTGGGGCCACACCTGGGGGCACCTGGGGACACACCTGGGGTCAGTGGGGGTCACCTGGGGTAACACCTGGGGGCACCTGGGGGCACACCTGGGGTCACACCTGGGGTCACCTGGGTCACACCTGGGGGCACACCTGGGGGCACCTGGGGTCACACCTGGGGTCACACCTGGGGGCACACCTGGGGGCACCTGGGGTCACACCTGGGGGCACCTGGAGGCACCTGGGGGCACCTGGGGTCACACCTGGGGGCACACCTGGGGTCACCTGGGGGCACACCTGGGGGCACCTGGGGTCACCTGGGGTCACACCTGGGGTCACACCTGGCTGGGGTCACCTGGGGTCACAGCTGGGGTCACAGCTGGGGGCACACCTGGCTGGGGTCACACCTGGGGTCACACCTGGCTGGGGTCACACCTGGGGGCACACCTGGGGGCACCCGGGGTCACCCGGGGTCACCTGGGGGCACACCTGGGGTCACACCTGGGATAACACCTGGGGTCACCTGGGGTCACACCTGGGGTCACACCTGGGGTGTAATTAATGACACCTGTCATTAATTAACCTCCATTAATTAACCCAATTAACTAAACCTCATTATTAACCTCCATTAATTAACCCTCATTCGTTAAACCTCATTAATTAAACCTCATTAATTAACCTGGTAATTAATCCCATTAACCCCCATTAATTAACCCCTATAAATTAAACCTCATTAATTAACCTCCATTAATTAACCTCCATTAACTAACCCTTGTTAATTAACCCAATTAACTAAACCTCATTATTAACCTCCATTAATTAACCCTCATTAGTTAAACCTCATTAATTAACCTGTTAATTAACCCCATTAATTAACCCCTATAAACCTCATTAATTAACCTCCATTAATTAACCTCCATTAATCAACTCCATTAATTGACCCCAGCATTAATAACCCCCATTAATTACCCCCAGTAATTAACCAATTAGCCCCATTAATTAGCCCTATTATTAACCACATTAACCTCATTAATTAATCCCATTAATTAACCATGACATTAATTAACCCCGATTAATTAGCTCTTATGAACACCCATTAATCAACCTCAGCACTAATTAGCCCTGTCATTAATTAGCCTCCTTAATGAATCCCATAAACCCATTAATTAAATTAGTTAATTAACCCCATTAACACTCATCAATTAGCCCCCATTAACAACATTAATTAACCCCCTTTATTTGACCTCCATTAATTAAACCCATTAATGAACTTCTATTAATTAATGCAGTAATTAATCTTCATTAATTAACCACAGCATTAACTCGGCCATTAATTACCCCATCATTAATAAACCCCATTAAAGTGCCAATTAATCCACGTCCATTAATTAATTACCCCAATTAACAGCTCCCACTCAATGCCCAAACCCCAGTAATTAAACACCCAATCACGCCCATAATTAATTAAACGCCAGTTAATTAATTAAATCAATTAGCCCCAATTAACACCCTTAATTAGACACCCCCACTAATTGCACAAACCCAATTAATTACTTAATAACCCCTGCTAATTGTCCATTCTGGCCAGGGATTCATTAGCCTCTTACAGTAATTAATTAATTAAATCTAATTAATTGCTAGGCTTTGATAACCTTTACTTAATTAATAATTAATTAACAACTCCATTAATCCCCCGGAGCCCCGTCCATTACCCCATTAACCCCCCTAAGGCATTAATTACGCCCTAATTAATCAATTAACGACGCTAATTAATCAATTTTCCTTTATTTAACAAAACCCCCCCAGGCCCCTCCCACACCCCAAATCCCGGAACCACTTCCGGGTTAGGCCACGCCCACTCCACAAGAGCGACGAGCACTTCCGGGCTAGGCCACGCCCACTCAATGGTGTAGATCGCTTCCGTATTTGGCCACACCCACTTCCGGGTTAGGCCACGCCCCTGGTGCAGCAGCAATGACGTCATTTCTCCTTGGGAGGGGGCCTGGGAGGGGAGAGAGAGGGAGAACCAATGAGAGACCAGTATGGGCCAGTATAAACCAGTATGGACCAGTATAAACCAGTACGGACCAGTACAGACCAGTACGGACCAGTACGGACCAGTATGGACCAGTATAGACCTGTATGGACCAGTATAAACCAGTATAGACCAGTATAAACCAGTATAAGCCAGTATAACCCAGTCCCTTTTTTCACCCCCAAAATCCCCATTTTCACCCTAAAATCTCCATTTTTGCACCTAAAACTCCCGTTTTTTTTTCCTCCCAGTCCCTCCCAGTATAACCCAGTACAAACCAGTATAACCCAGTTCCCTTTTAACCCCCCAAAATCCCCATTTTCCCCTCCAAAATCCCCATTTTTCCCCCTAAAATCTCCATTTTTGCACCTAAAACTCCCGGATTTTTTCCCCCCAGTCCCCCCCAGTCCCTCCGAGTCCCTCCCAGTATAAACCAGTATAAACCAGTATAACCCAGTCCCTTTCCACCCCCAAAACCCCCATTTTTCCCCATAAAATCCCCATGTTTGCACCTAAAACTCCCGGATTTTTTCCCCCCAGTCCCTCCCAGTCCCTCCCAGTATAACCCAGTCCGTCCCAGTCACCGGTAGACGCCGACCACCACGGCGTGGTCCCTCTCGTAGGGCTCCAGGGTCAGCTGCTCCTGCGGCTTCATCCTCTCGGCCGTCATCTTCCTCACCTCGCCCGCGAACACGGCCTCGGCCGGCGCCGTCGAGTCGATGCAGTTCGCCTGCACAGGGAGGGTGGGAGCGGTTTGGACCGGGTTGGACTGGTTAGAACCAGTTTGGACTGGGTTGAGACTGATTTGAGACCAGTTAGATCCAGTTAGAACTGGTTTGGACTGGTTTGAGACCAGTTAGAACCAGTTTGGACTGGGTTGGGACCGGTTAGAACCGGTTTGAGCCAGTTAGAACCGGTTTGGACTGGGTTGAGACCAGTTAGAACGGGTTTGAGCCGGTTAGAACTGGTTTGGACTGGTTTGGACTGGGTTGGACTGGGTGGGACTGGGTTGGAATGAGTTGGATTGGGTTGGACTGGGTTGGACTGGTTTGAGAACCAGTTAGAACCAGTTTGGACTGGTTTGGACTGGTTTGAGCTGGTTTGGACTGGGTTGGACTGGTTTGAGACCGGTTAGAACCGGTTAGATCCCAGTTAGAACTGGTTAGACCCCAGTTAGATCCAGTTAGAACTGGTTTGGACTGGGTGGGACTGGGTTGAACTGGTTTGGACTGGGTTGAGATCAGTTAGAACTGGTTTGAGCCAGTTAGATCCAGTTAGGACTGCTTTGGACTGGTCCATACTGGTCCATACTGGTCTATACGGGCCCATACTGGTCTGTACTGGTCTCTAACTGGTCCGTACTGGTTTATACTGGTCGTTACCTTGATGGAGATGAGGAAGTGCCCCCCCGCCCGCAGGAAGTGATGGTTTGTACTGCTCTGTACTGGTTTACACTGGTTTCTGACTGGTCTATACTGGTCCATACTGGTCTCTAACTGGTCCATACTGGTCCATACTGGTCCATACTGGTCCGTACCTTGATGGAGATGAGGAAGTGCCCCCCCGCCCGCAGGAAGTGATGGTCTCTAACTGGTCCATACTGGTTTGTACTGCTCTATACTGGTCCGTACTGGTTTATACTGGTCCATACTGGTCCGTACTGGTCCGTACTGGTCCATACTGGTGGTTACCTTGATGGAGATGAGGAAGTGCCCCCCCGCCCGCAGGAAGTGATGCGCGTTCAGGGCCACGATGCGCGTCTGGTCCGGCTGCGCCACGTCAGCAAAGATCACGTCCACCATGCCTGGGATGGGGGGCAGAAAAACCCCAAAATTATCCCAAAATAGCCCAAAATTACTCCAAAATTCCAGAAAATTGGAAATTCCGGGAAAAAATCCCAAAATTTCCATGAAATTCCTCAAAATTCCCACGAAATTCAGGCCAGGAACCCAAAATTTGGTGCCCACCACGATCACGTCCACCATGGCTGGGACGGGGGCAAAAAACCCCAAAATTATCCCAAAATAGCCCAAATTTACCCCAAAATTGTCCTGGAATTCCAGAAAATCAGAAATTCCGGGAAAAAAATCTCAAAATTTCCATGAAATTCCAGCCAGGAACCCAAAAACCCCAAAATTTGGTGCCCACCACGATCACGTCCACCATGGCTGGAACAGGGCAAAAAACCCCAAAATTATCCCAAAATATCCCAAATTTACCCCAAAATTATCCCGGAATTTCAGAAAAAATTCAGAAATTCTGGAAAAAATCCCAAAATTTCCACGAAATTCCCACGAAATTCAGGCCAGGAACCCAAAAAACCCCAAAATTTGGTGCCCACCAAGATCACGTCCACCATGCCTGGGACGGGGCAAAAAACCCCAAAATTATCCCAAAATATCCCAAATTTACCCCAAAATTATCCCGGAATTTCAGAAAAAATTCAGAAATTCCGGAAAAAATCCCAAAATTTCCCCGAAATTCCCACGAAATTCGGGCCAGGAACCCAAAAAAATCCCAAAATTCGGTGCCCACCAAGATCACGTCCACCATGGCTGGAACGGGGCAAAAAACCCCAAAAAATTATCCCAAAATATCCCAAATTTACCCCAAAATATCCCAAAATAGCCCAAATTTACCCCAAAATTGTCCTGGAATTCTAGAAAATCGGAAATTCCCAAAAAATCCCAAAATTCCCATGAAATTCCCACGAAATTCGGGCCAGGAACCCAAAATTTGGTGCCCACCAAGATCACGTCCACCATGGCTGGAACAGGGGCAAAAAACCCCAAAATTATCCCAAAATATCCCAAATTTATCCCAAAATTGTCCTGGAATTCATGAAAATCGGAAATTCCCAAAAAAATCCCAAAATTCCCACGAAATTCCCACGAAATTGCAGCGAGGAACGCAAAAAAATCCCAAAATTTGGTGCCCACCATGATCACGTCCACCATGGCTGGAACGGGGCAAAAAACCCCAAAATTATCCCAAAATATCCCAAATTTACCCCAAAATATCCCAAAATAGCCCAAATTTACCCCAAAATTGTCCTGGAATTCTAGAAAATCGGAAATTCCGGGAAAAAATCCCAAAATTTCCATGAAATTACTCAAAATTCCCACGAAATTCAGGCCAGGAACCCAAAATTTGGTGCCCACCACGATCACGTCCACCATGGCTGGAATGGGGGCAGAAAAACCCCAAAATTATCCCAAAATATCCCAAAATTATCCCAAAATTATCCCAAAATATCCCAAAATTCTGAACAAAATCCAGGAATTCCAGGAAAAAATCCCAAATTTCCATGAAATTCCCCCAAAATCCCAGCCAGAAACTCAAAACCACCTCAAGTTCCACCAAGAACACCCCAAGATCTCCAGAACCTTCTCCAGAACCTCCTCCCCTCCCTCCCAGCTGTGCCCAGGTGTGGCCCCGCCCCCTGTGGCACTGGCCCCGCCCCCCTGTGCCCCACTGACCAATCAGCACGCGGCATTTCTGTGGGTGCCGCGTGTTCTCCATGCCCGGCACCACCTTCATTCACACAGGTGAGACCAATGATGAAGCCCCGCCCCCAGGATGAAGCCACACCCCTTTCCCCTGACTGACCCCGCCCACCAGGACTAAGCCCCGCCCCCCGTGCCCCACTGACCAATCAGCATGCGGCATTTCTGGGGGTGCCGCGCGTCCTCCATGACTGGCACCACCTTCATTCCCACAGGTGAGACCAATGATGAAACCCCGCCCCCAAAGATGAAGTCCCACCCCTTTCCCTGACTGACCCCGCCCCCCAGGATGAAACCCCACCCCCTTTCAGTGACTGACCAATCAGCATGCAGCATTTCTGGGGGTGCCCTGCATCCTCCATGCCCGGCACCACCTTCGTTCCCACAGGTGAGACCCAGGTGTTTCCCAGGCATAAGCCCCGCCCCCAGGACTAAGCCCCGCCCCTCTGGCTCACTGACCCCGCCCCCTTTGCCTCACTGACCAAGCACATCCTCCATGCCCGGCACCACCTTCATTCCCACAGGTGAGCCCAATGATGAAGCCCCGCCCCCAGGACGAAGCCCCACCCATTTCCCTGACTGACCCTGCCCCCTGTGGCACTGGCCCCGCCCCCCGTTTCGCACTGACCAATCAGCATGCGGCATTTCTGTGGGTGCCAGGCGTCCTCCATGACCGGCACCACCTTCGTTCCCACAGGTGCGACCCCATGACGAAGCACCGCCCCCTTTGCCTCACTGACCCCGCCCCCTTTGCCTCACGGACCAAGCGCATCTTCCATGCCCGGCACCACCTTCGTTCCCACAGGTGAGACCAATGATGAAGCCCCGCCCCCAGGATGAAGCCCCACCCCTTTGGCCGTCTGCCCCCGCCCCCCAGGATGAAACCCCGCCCCCTTTCAGTGACTGACCAATCAGCATGCAGCATTTCTGTGGGTGCCAGGCGTCCTCCATGCCCGGCACCACCTTCATTCCCACAGGTGAGACCCAGGTGTGTCCCAGGTGTAAGCCCCGCCCCCAGGATGAAACCCCGCCCCCCAGGAGGAAGCCCCGCCCCCTTTGCCCCACTGACCAAGCGCATCCTCAATCACCAGCACCACCTTCATTCCCACGGGTGAGACCAATGATGAAGCCCCGCCCCCAAAGATGAAGTCCCACCCCTTTCCCTGACTGACCCCGCCCCCCAGGACTAAACCCCGCCCACTTTCAGTGACTGACCAATCAGCATGCAGCATTTCTGGGGGTGCCCTGCATCCTTCGTTCCCACAGGTGAGACCCAGGTGTTTCCCAGGCATAAGCCCCGCCCCCAGGACTAAGCCCCGCCCCTCTGGCTCACTGACCCCGCCCCTCTGGCTCACTGACCAAGCACATCCTCAATCACCGGCACCACCTTCATTCCCACAGGTGAGACCAAGGATGAAGCCCCGCCCCAAGGACAAAGCCCCACCCCTTTCCCTGACTGGCCCCACCCCTTTCCCTGACTGGCCCCGCCCCCCGTGCCCCACTGACCAATCAGCATGCGGTATTTGTGGGGGTGCCGCGCGTCCTCGATGACGGGCACCACGTTCGTTCTCTTCTTGGCCACGTTGAGCAGGTCCCGGCCCGAGCGGTGCGAGAACTCCACGGCGTAGACCACGCCCTCCTGGGGGCGGGGACAAACACGGGGTCACCAAAGGTCACCCGGGGTCACCCAAAGGTCACCGAGGTCACCCGGGGTCACCTGCAGGTGCCAGCACCGGGAGCTCTGAGGAGCCTGGGGACACCAAACTGGGGCCACCTGGGCCAGGTGAGGCCTTGGGGGCACCACAGGAGTAACCCAGGAGTAACCCCTGTGTAACCCCTGTGTAACCCCAGTGTATCCCAGGTGTGTAACCCCTTTGTATCCCCATTGTAACCCCATGGTAACACTAGTGTGTAACCCCTGTGTAACCCCATTGTAACCCCTGTGTGTAACCCATGTGTAACCCCATTGTAACACCTGTGTAACCCCATTATATCCCAGGTGTGTAACCCCTGTGTAACCCCATTCTAACCCCATTGTAACCCCTGTGTAACCCCGGTGTGTAACCCATGTGTAACCCCATTGTAACCCCTGTGTAACCCTGGTGTGTAACCCCGTTGTAACCCCATTATATCCCCGTTGTATCCCCATTGTAATCCCTGTGTAACCCCATTGTATCCCAGGTGTGTAACCCCATTGTAACCCCCGTGTATCCCAGGTGTGTAACTCTGTTGTAACCCCATTGTAACCCTGTTGTAACCCCATCGAAACCCCGTTGTATCCCATGTGTGTAACCCTGTTGTAACCCCAGTGTGTAACCCTGTTGTAACCCCTGTGTAACCCCATTGTATCCCAGGTGTGTAACCCCTTTGTATCCCCATTGTAACCCCATTGTATCCCACGTGTGTAACCTCATTGTAAGCCTGTTCTAACCCCGTTGTATCCCAGGTGTGTAACCCCTGTGTAACCCCTGAGTAACCCCATTGTAACCCTGTGTAACCCCGTTGTATCCCCAGTGTGTAACCCCTGTCTAACCCCATTATAACCCCGGTGTGTAACCCCTGAGTAACCCTGTTGTATCCCCAGTGTGTAACCCCATTCTAACCCCTGTTGTATCCCTGGTGTAAACCCATTCTAACCCCTGTTGTAACCCCATTGTATCCCATGTGTGTAACCCCATTCTAACCCCTGTGTAACCCCATTGTATCCCCGTTGTGTAACCCCTATGTAACCCCATTGTATCCCATGTGCGTAACCCGGGTGTATCCCAGGAGTGTAACCCCTCTTGTAACTCCATTGTAACCCCATTGTGACCCCTGTGTAACCCCATTGTATCCCATGTGTGTAACCCCATTGTAGCCCCGTTCTAACCCTGTTGTATCCCAGGTGTGTAACCCTGTTGTAACCCCATTGTAACCCTGGGGTATCCCAGATGTGTAACCCCAGTGTATGCCCTGTGTAACCCTGCTCTAACCCCATTGTAACCCCATTGTAACCCTGGTGTATCCCCAGTGTGTAACCCTGTTGTAACCTCATTGAAACCCCAGTGCGTAACCCCATTGTAACCCTGTTGTAACGCCATTGTAACCCCGGTGTATCCCCATTGTATCCCAGGTGTGTAACCCATGTGTAACCCCATTCTAACCCCAGTGTAACCCCACTGTATCCCTGGTGCAACCCTGTTGTAACCCCTGTGTGTAACCCCATTGTAACCCCTGTGTGTAACCCCATTGTAACCCCATTGTAACCCCTGTGTAACCCCTGTGTAACCCCATTGTATCCCAGGTGTGTAACCCCGTTGTAACCCCATAGTAACCCCTGTGTAACCCCTGTGTAACCCCGTAGCAGCCGTACCTGCCCCACGATGTCGGACACGTGGCTCACGGTGGTGCCCGAGGCCGAGGTGTGTAACCCCATAGTAACCCCATTGTATCCCAGGTGTGTAACCCCGTTGTAACCCCATAGTAACCCCTGTGTAACCCCGTAGTAACCCCGTAGCAGCCGTACCTGCCCCACGATGTCGGACACGTGGCTCACGGTGGTGCCCGAGGCCGCCCCCAGGTACAGAACCCGCGCCCCCGGCCGGATGTGGATGCGGTCGATGCCCCCCAGGATGGCGGCGGCCAGCTTGGAGCGGAACGGGTTCCAGGCACGGTACTCGACCGAGACATCGCCATCCTAAACCAGTTAGAACCAGTTAGAACCAGTATAGACCAGTACAGATCCCTATATATCCCTATAAACCAGTATGGAGTGGTATAACCAGTATAACCCAGCTTGGAGCGGAACGGGTTCCAGGCACGGTACTCGATGGAGCTGTCACCATCCTGGACCAGTATAAACCAGTTAGAACCAGTTAGAACCAGTATAGACCAGTATAGACCAGTTAGAACCAGTATAGATCCCTATAACCCAGTATGGACTGGTGTAACCAGTATAACCCAGCTTGGAGCGGAACGGGTTCCAGGCACGGTACTCGATGGAGCTGTCACCATCCTGAACCAGTATAGACCAGTATAGACCAGTTAGAACCAGTACAGACCAGTATAGATCTCTATATATCCCTATATATCTCTATAAACCACTACGGACCAGTATAACCCAGCTTGGAGCGGAACGGGTTCCAGGCACGGTACTCGATGGAACTGTCACCATCCTGAACCAGTATAGACCAGTATAGACCAGTTAGAACCAGTATAAACCAGTATAGACCAGTTAGAACCAGTATAGATCCCTATATATCCCTATAAACCACTATGGACCAGTATAACCCAGCTTGGAGCGGAACGGGTTCCAGGCACGGTACTCGATGGAACTGTCACCATCCTGAACCAGTATAGACCAGTATAGACCAGTTAGAACCAGTATAAACCAGTACAGACCAGTATAGATCCCTATATATCCATATAAACCAGTATGGACCAGTATAACCCAGCTTGGAGCGGAACGGGTTCCAGGCACGGTACTTGACTGAGACATCGCCATCCTGAACCAGTATAAACCAGTACAAACCAGTTAGAACCAGTATAGATCCCTATATATCCCTATAAATCACTATAGACCAGTATAACCCAGTACGGACTGGTGTAACCAGTATAACCCAGCTTGGAGCGGAACGGGTTCCAGGCACGGTACTCGATGGAGCTGTCACCATCCTGAACCAGTATAGACCAGTATAGACCAGTTAGAACCAGTACAGACCAGTATAGACCAGTATAGATCCATACATATCCCTATAACCCAGTATGGACTGGTATAACCAGTATAACCCAGCTTGGAGCGGAACGGGTTCCAGGCACGGTACTCGACTGAGACATCGCCATCCTGAACCAGTATAAACCAGTATAGACCAGTTAGAACCAGTATAGATCCCTATATATCCCTATAAACCACTATAGACCAGTATAAACCAGTATGGACTGGTATAACCAGTATAACCCAGCTTGGAGCGGAACGGGTTCCAGGCACGGTACTCGACTGAGACATCGCCATCCTAAACCAGTATAGACCAGTTAGAACCAGTACAGACCAGTACAGACCAGTATAGATCCCTATATATCCCTATATATCCCTATAAACCACTATAGACCAGTATAAACCAGTATGGACTGGTGTAATCAGTACAACCCAGCTTGGAGCGGAACGGGTTCCAGGCACGGTACTCGATGGAACTGTCACCATCCTGAACCAGTATAGACCAGTTAGAACCAGTATAGACCAGTATAGATCCATACATATCCCTATATATCCCTATAAACCACTATAGACCAGTATAAACCAGTATGGACTGGTGTAATCAGTACAACCCAGCTTGGAGCGGAACGGGTTCCAGGCACGGTACTCGATGGAACTGTCACCCTCCTGAACCAGTATAAACCAGTATAGACCAGTACAGACCAGTACAGACCAGTATAAACCAGTATAAAACCAGTTAGAACCAGTACAAATCCCTATAGATCCCTATAAACCACTACAAACCAGTATGAACTGGTATAAACCAGTATGGAGCAGTATGGACCAGTATAAACCAGTGCGGACTGGTGTGAACCAGTACGGACCAGTACAACCAGTATGGACCAGTATGGAGCACTATAGACCAGTATGGACCAGTACACACCAGTACGGACCAGTACGGACCAGTATGGACCACTATGGACCACTATAGACCAGTATGGACCAGTACACACCAGTCCCTCCCAGTCCCACTCCCAGTGCTCCCAGTATAACCCAGTCTATCCCAGTCTGTCCCAGTCTATTCCAGTTCCATCCCAGTCCCTCCCAGTTTCTCCCAGTCCCTCCCAGTTTGTCCCAGTTTATTCCAGTCTCTCCCAGTCTGTCCCAGTCCATCCCAGTCTATCCCAGTCCCATTCCCAGTACCCCCAATCCGACTCCCAGTGCTCCCAGTATAACCCAGTTTGTCCCAGTCCATCCCAGTCCCTCCCAGTCTCTCCCAGTCTGTCCCAGTTCCATCCCAGTCTATCCCAGTTTGTCCCAGTTCCCTCCCAGTTTATCCCACTCAATCCCAGTCCCTCCCAGTTTGTCCCAGTCCCATTCCCAGTACCCCCAATCCCACTCCCAGTGCTCCCAGTCCATCCCAGTCCCTCCCAGTCTGTCCCAGTTGGGTTTATCTCAGTCCCAGTCCTCCCCAGTCTGTCCCAGTCCATCCCAGTTCCCTCCCAGTCCATCCCAGTATATCCCAATCCCTCCCAGTTTATCCCAGTTTATCCCAGTCCGTCCCAGTTTGTCCCAGTCCACCCCAGTCTGTCCCAGTCCCTCCCAGTCTGTCCCAGTTTAATCCAGTTTGTCCCAGTCCCTCCCAGTATATCCCAGTACAAAGCCCCTCTATCCCAGTCCCTCCCAGTCCCCCCCATTCCCTCCCAGTATATCCCAGTCCCTCCCAGTATATCCCAGTCCCCCCCAGTTCCCTCCCAGTCCCTCCCAGTCCCATCCCAGTATATCCCAGTCCCTCCCAGTGCATCCCAGTATATCCCAGTCCCCCCCAGTCCCTCCCAATCCCATCCCAGTCTATCCCAGTCCCATCCCAGTATATCCCAGTCCCTCCCAGTATATCCCAGTATATCCCAGTCCCCCCCAGTTCCCTCCCAGTCCATCCCAGTATATCCCAGTCCCTCCCAATCCCATCCCAGCCCATCTCAGTCCATCCCAGTATATCCCAGTCCATCCCAGTCCCTCCCAGTCCCATCCCAGTATATCCCAGTCCCTCCCATTCCCTCCCAGTATATCCCAGTCCATCCCAGTCCCATCCCAGTCCATCCCAGTCCCATCCCAGTCCCTCCCAGTTCCCTCCCAGTATATCCCAGTCCCTCCCAATCCCATTCCAGTCCCTCCCAATCCCATTCCAGTCCCTCCCAGTCCATCCCAGTCCCATCCCAGTCCGTCCCAGTCCCATCCCAGTCCATCCCAGTCCATCCCAGTATATCCCAGTATATCCCAGTTTACCTCCACGCTGATCCGTTTCTCTCCGTACACCGACTCTCCCGGCACCAGGTTCCGCGTCACCAACGCGTCCTCACGGCCCCGGCAAATGAACACACCTGGGACAGGTGAGATACTCATGGGTTACTCATGGGTTACTCATGGGTTACACCTGAGATACACCTGGGACAGGGGAGATACTCATGGGATACTCATGGGATACTCATGGGTTACACCTGGGACAGGGGAGATACACATGGGATACTCATGGGATACACCTGGGTTACACCTGGGTTACACCTGGGATACACCTGGGACACGGGAGATACACATGGGATACTCATGGGATACACCTGGGACACGGGAGATACACATGGGATACTCATGGGATACTCATGGGTTACACCTGGGATACACATGGGTTACACCTGGGTTACACCTGGGATACACCTGGGACACGGGAGATACACCTGGGATACTCATGGGTTACACCTGGGACAGGGGAGATACACATGGGATACTCATGGGTTACTCATGGGATACACCTGGGACACGGGAGATACACATGAGATACTCATGGGATACTCATGGGATACTCATGGGTTACACCTGGGACACGGGAGATACACATGAGATACTCATGGGATACTCATGGGATACTCATGGGTTACACCTGGGACACGGGAGATACACATGAGATACTCATGGGTTACACCTGGGATACACCTGAGTTACACCTGAATTACACGTGAGATACACCTGAGATACACCTGAGTTACACCTGGGATAAACCTGGGATACACCTGAGTTACACCTGGATTACTCATGGGATACACCTGAGTTACACCTGGGACCCTCAGCTGCTCCACAGCCGCATCCCCAGTCCCTCCCAGTATAACCCAGTATATCCCAGTATGCCCAGCTCCCCTCCCAGTATGAACCAACATATCCCAGCTCCCTCCCAGTATAAACCAGTACGCCCAGCTCCATTCCCATTCCCTCCCAGTATAAACCAGTATCCCCAGTTACCCTCCCAGTCCCTCCCAGTCCATCCCAGCCCCTCCCAGTCCCAGTATAAACCAGTCCATCCCAGTATAAACCAGTCCATCCCAGTTGCCCTCGTGCTGCTGTGGCTCCACCCTCCCAGTCCCTCCCAGTATAAACCAGTATCCCCAGTTCCCTCCCAGTATCCCCAGTCCCTCCCAGTCCCTCCCAGTTCCCATCCCAGTCCATCCCAGTATCCCCAGTCCATCCCAGTCCCTCCCAGTCCCTCCCAGTCCCATCCCAGTCCCTCCCAGCCCTCCCAGTTCCCATCCCAGTCGCTCCCAGTTCCCATCCCAGTCCATCCCAGTTTATCCCAGTCCATCCCAGTCCCTCCCAGTCTCTCCCAGTCTCTCCCAGTCCCTCCCAGTTCCCATCCCAGTCCATCCCAGTATATCCCAGTCCCCTCCCAGTCCCTCCCAGTATAAACCAGTTTATCCCAGTTACCCTCATGCCGGTGCGGCTCCACCGTCACTTTTTTCCCGCCTTTGAAGCCGCCGCGGCCCCCGCCCCTGGCCCCGCCCCCTCGGCCTCGGCCACGCCCCCGTGGGGCTCCTCTGGCTCCGCCTCCTCCTCTGGCTCCGCCCCCTCCGCGGGCCACGCCCCCTCCACGGGGCGTGAAACCGGAACCTGTGGGGGGAAACTGGGTTATACTGGGATATACTGGGAGGGGAACTGGGGATACTGGGAGGGACTGGGAGGGACTGGGAGGGGAACTGGGTTATACTGGGATATACTGGGAGGGGAACTGGGGATACTGGGAGGGACTGGGAGGGACTGGGAGGGGAACTGGGTTATACTGGGATATACTGGGAGGGGAACTGGGGGAACTGGGTTATACTGGGAGGGACTGGGAGGAACACTGAGGAGACTGGGATGGACTGGGAGGGGAATTGGGTTATACTGGGAGGGGAACTGGGGATACTGGTTTGTACTGGGAGAGACTGGGAGGGGAACTGGGGATACTGGGAGGGGAACTGGGTTATACTGGGATATACTGGGAGGGGAACTGGGGGAAGTAGGTTATACTGGGATGTATTGGGAGGGACTGGGAGGGACTGGGAGGGGAACTGGGTTATACTGGGAGGGAACTTCGTTATACTGGTTTATACTGGGATAAACTGGGAGGGGAACTGGGGATACTGGGATATACTGGGAGAGATACTGGGATTATTGGTTTATACTGGTCCATACTGGTTTATACTGGGACTCACCTCTGCCTCGGAAGCCGCCGCGTCCACCCCGGGGGCTGAAACCTGTGGGGAAACTGGTCAGACTGGGATGTACTGGGATATACTGGGATGGACTGGGAGGGGAACTGGGATGTACTGGGATGTACTGGGATATACTGGGTTATACTGGGAGGGACTGGGAGAGGCCCTGCAGGCTCCCAGTGCTCCCAATGTGGCTGCAACACCTCCCCCAGTCCCTCCCAGTATAACCCAGTATATCCCAGTTACCCCCAAAACGCTCCCAGTTCATCCCAGTCCCTCCCAGTTTATCCCAGTCCATCCCAGTCCCTCCCAGTCCCTCCCAGTTTATCCCAGTCCCCCCCAAATCCTCTCCCAATCCCTCCCAGTGCATCCCAGTTTATCCCAGTTCCCCCCAATCCCCTCCCAGTCCATCCCAATTCATCCCAGTCCCTCCCAGTTTGTCCCAGTTCCCATCCCAGTTCCCCCCAGTCCATCCCAGTCCCCCCAGTCCATCCCAGTCCCCTCCCAGTATATCCCAGTCCCCTCCAAATCCTCTCCCAGTTTATCCCACCTCCCTCCAAATCACTTCCCAGTCAATCCCAGTCCCCCCCAACCTCCCCCAGTCCCTCCCAGTTTGTCCCAGTTTATCCCAGTTTATCCCAGTCCCCTCCAATTCCCACCCGGCCTCATCGCGCCGCTTTTCTCCACGCGTGGCCCGCGCGCCTTTGCCGGAACCGGAAATGACGCCACAAAGAAAGCGCCGTCCCAGCCCGCGCATGCGCACTCCGCTCCCGACGCTCAAATCCCGCCCACTTCCGGGCGGAAGTTCCCTCAGAGTGCCTCAAGGTGTGTCCTGAGGGGATTTTGAGGTAAAAAATGGGGATTTTGGGACAAAAATGGAGGTTTGGGGTCTAAACCGGTGATTTTGGGGTGAAAAATGGGGATTTTGGGGCTCTAAAGGTTTTTTTGTGGCGGCTCGCGGCGTTTTGGCGCCGTTTCGGGGCAGTTCCGGCGGACTCGCGGGTGGGGGCCGCCGCCATTTTTCCTCCGGGAGGAGACGCTCCGGCCCGAAACCGTCTCTCTATGGTCTTTCGTGACGTCATTTCCGGCGACTCTCCGTCGCTTCCGGAGTGACTCGTTGGTTCCGGCCGGTGGCGAGCGAGGGTGAAAGTGACTTTGAGAGCTGGGACGTACTGGGAGAACTGGGATGGACTGGGAGCAACTGGGAGCGACTGGGAGCGCTGGGGAGGCGACTGGGAGCGACTGGGATGGACTGGGAGCGACTGGGATGGACTGGGAGAGACTGGGAGAGACTGGGGGGGCTGGGAGGGTCGTGAGGGGAGCGCTGAGGGCGGTGAGGGCCGAACTGGGAGGGACTGGGGGGAACTGGGAGGGGTCTGAGGGGTTACTGGGATGAACTGGGAGGGACTGGGATGAACTGGGAGCACTGGGAGGGGTCTGGGGGGGGTTACTGGGGTGAACTGGGAGGGACTGGGATGAACTGGGAGAGGTTTGGGGGTTACTGGTTTGAACTGGGATGAACTGGGAGAGGTCTGTGAGGTTACTGGGAAGGAACTGGGATGAACTGGTTTGAACTGGGAGCACTGGGAGGGCAGGAATTAAGGAGCTGCTCATTTGCATAATGAATGAGCTTCGTTAGTTCATTCCCTTCTTTGGCATTGCTGGGTGGGGTTAATTAATATTAATTAATAACTAATGAGCTAATTAACTACGTGGATTTGCAGTTAATTACCTGGATGTTAATTAATTTGCTGACTAATTAATTACTGCTAATTAGCATCCTTAATGAGCTTCCAGTCTCTCGAATGATTTCATTTCTCTTTCATTCCCTTATTTGGCATTGTGGGGTGGGATTAATTAATTAATGAGCTAATTAGCAGGCTAGATTGGCAGTTAATTAACTAGATCCCAGTCAGTTTATTGGCTAGTTAGTCAGCTGCTAATTAGCATAATTAATGAGTTTTTAGTCTGTTGTTTTCGCTTCTGTTTTATTCCATTGTTTATCATTGCAGGCTGTGGTTAATTAATAATTAATGAGCTAATTAGCAGGCTACGTTAATTATTAATTAACTAGGTTCAAACCAGTTACTTGGCTAATTAACAAGGCGTTAATTATAATCATCAATCACTTTCCAATCTGTTTCTGCTGCTAATTAATTTCTTGATTTTTCATAATTAGGCATTAATTAGTAATTAATGAGCCAATTAACAGACTAGGTTAACCATTAATTAATTAGGTCCTGACCAATTGTTTAGCTAATTAATTAGCTGTAATTATAACCACTAATGGCTTCTTAATGTGCTTCTATTTCTACTTAATTAATGTTTCATTATTAGGTGACATTAATTATTAATTAATGAGCTAATTAACAGGCTAGACTGAGTTAATTAATTAACAACTGCTGATAGTAATTAGCTAATAAGTGCTGCTAGTTAATGAGGACTGATAATTAATTCGATACTAAAGGGGTCAGTAATTAATTAATTAGCTGCTAATTAGCATAATTAGGATTCTATTAAAATCTCTTTTCTTCCTGATTCCACTTCCCCCATTTCTCCGGCTGGGTTGGAATTGATTAATAATTAATGAGCTAATTAACAGCTAGATTGACAATTTGCTAAGCAGGGCCTAATTATTTATTCAGCTAATTAATTAGCTGCTAATTACCTTAATTAACAACATTTCCCGCTTGTAAACTCTGATGCAAAGGTTGAAAATTTGAATTTTTTCCATTTTTTCAGCAATTAATGCTCCTTAAACCCAATTAACCCCCTCAGGCTGATAATTAAGGGGTCCTGGAAGGTGATTAATGAGGGCAGGTGTTAATTAAGCTCTGTAATTATGCTAATTAGCCATGGCAGAGGACATCAAGCTCAAGCTGTGCCGCTACAAAACGGCTCCGTTCGACAGCCGCTTCCCCAACCAGAACCAGACCCGCAACTGCTGGCAGAACTACCTGGGTATGGCCCCAAAATCCCCCAAATTCACCCCAAAAATCACCTGGGGAACCCCAAAATAACAAAAATACAAAAATTCCCGTGAAAATCCCCCAAAAAATGGCCCAAAAACCCCCAAAAAAGGCCCCAAAATGGACAAAAAAATGCCCCAAAAACGGCCCAAAAAAAATACCCAAAAATGGCCCCAAAAATGGCCCCCAAAACCCCCCAAAATGGCGCAAAAAAACCCCAAAAATGGCCCCAAAAATGGCCCCAAAAAACCCAAAAATGGCCCAAAAAACCCCCCAAAAATGGCCCCAAAAATGCCCAAAAAATACCCCAAAAAAATCCCCAAAAATGGCCCCAAAAATGGCCCAAAGACCCCCAAAAATTTGGGGTTTTTGATCTCTGCTTCCCCAACCAGAACCAGACCCGCAACTGCTGGCAGAACTACCTGGGTATGGCCCCAAAATCCCCCAGATTCACCCCAAAAATCACCTGGGGAACCCCAAAATAACAAAAATCCAAAAATCCCCGTGAAAATCCCCCAAAAAATGGCCCAGAAACCCCCAAAAAAGGCCCCAAAATGACCAAAAAAATGCCCCCAAAAACCCTCAAAAATGGCCCCAAAAATGCCCACAAAATGCCCCAAAAATGGCCCCAAAAACCCCCAAAAATGGTCCCAAAACCCCTAAAAAACCCCCCAAAATGGCCCAAAAAAACCCCCCAAAATGGCGCAAAAAACCCCCAAAAATGGTCCCAAAAAGCCCCAAAAAATGCCCAAAAATGGCCCAAAAAATCCCAAAAATGCCCCAAAAAGCCCCAAAAATGGCCCCAAAAATGCCCACAAAATGCCCCAAAAATGGCCAAAAAAAGGCCCAAAAATGCCCCAAAAAAACCCCAAAAACCACCCAAAATGGCCCAAAAAATGCCCAAAAATGGCCCCAAAAATGGCCCCCCAAAACACCAAAAATGCCCCAAAAAAACCCCAAAAATGGCCCCAAAAACACCCCAAAAATGGCCCAAAAAAACCCCAAAAATGGCCCCAAAAATGGCCCAAAGACCCCCAAAAATTTGGGGTTTTTGATCTCTGCTTCCCCAACCAGAACCAGACCCGCAACTGCTGGCAGAACTCCCTGGGTATGGCCCCAAAATCCCCCAAATTCACCCCAAAAATCACCTGGGGAGCCCCAAAAATCAACTGGGGAACCCCGAAATAACAAAAATCCAAAAATCCCCGTGAAAATCCCCCAAAAAATGCCCCAAAATGGACAAAAAAATGGCCCAAAAATGGCCCCAAAAAAGGCCCCAAAAATGGCCCCAAAAACCCCCAAAAATGGCCCCAAAAATGGCCCAAAAAATCCCCAAAAATGGCCCCAAAAATGGCCCAAAAACCACCAAAAATGGCCCCCAAAACCCCCCAAAATGGCCCAAAAAAACCCCAAAAATGGCCCAAAAACCCCCCAAAAATGGCCCCAAAAATGCCCCAAAAAAATCCCCAAAAATGACCCCAAAAATGGCCCAAAACCCCCCCAAAATGGCCCCTAAACCCCCAAAAATGGCCCCAAAAATGCCCACAAAATGCCCCAAAAATGGCCCCAAAAAAACCCCAAAATGGCCCAAAAATGCCCCCAAAAATGGTCCCAAAACCCCTAAAAACCTCCCAAAATGGCCCAAAAAAATCCCCCAAAATGGCACAAAAAACCCCCAAAAATGGCCCCAAAAAACCCCAAAATGGTCCCAAAAATGCCCCCCAAAATGGCCCCCAAATTTCCCCAAAAATGGCCCAAAAATGGCCCCAAAAATGGCCCCAAAATTCCCCCAAAATGGGCCCAAAATTCCCCCAAAAATGGCCCCAAAAATGCCCCCCAAAAAACCCCAAAATGGCCCAAAAACCCCCCAAAAATGACCCCAAAAATGCCCCCAAAAATGCCCCAAAAACCCCCAAAAATGGCCCCCCAAAAAAATCCCAAAAATGCCCCAAAAACCTCTAAAAATGGCCCCAAAAATGGCCCAAAAAATGCCCCCAAAAAATGCCCAAAAATGGCCCAAAAAATCCCAAAAATGCCCCAAAAAGCCCCAAAAATGGCCCCAAAAATGCCCACAAAATGCCCAAAAATGGCCAAAAAAAAAGGCCCAAAAATGCCCCAAAAAAACCTCAAAAATGGCCCCAAAAAACCCCAAAAACGCCCAAATTTGGGGATTTTATCCCCAAAATCTTCCCCAAAAATTCCCAAAATCCCCCAAATTCACCCCAAAAATCACCTGGGCAACCCCAAAATCCCAAAAATCCCAAAATTCCCATTAAAAAACCCAAATAATTCCCACCAAAATGCCCCAAAAATGCCCAAATTTGGGGTTTTTCTCCCCGCTCCGGCCGCTCATTGTCCCCAATGTCCCCTCATTGTCCCCAACGTCCCCTCATTGTCCCCAACGTCCCCTCAGTGTCCCCAATGTCCCCTCAGTGTCCCCAAATCCCCCAAATGTCCCCATTGTCCCCAATGTCCCCAATGTCCCCTCAATGTCCCCAATGTCCCCGATGTCCCCAATGTCCCCAAAATGTTCCCAAATGTCCCCTCAATGTCCCCAATGTCCCCTCAGTGTCCCCAAATCCCCCAATGTCCCCAATGTCCTCTCAATGTCTCTGATGTCCCTAAAATGTTCCCAAATGTCCCCAATGTCTCCTCAGTGTCCCCAATGTCCCCAAAATGTCCCCAATGTCCCCTATCCCCAATGTCCCCTCAGTGTCCTCAATGTCCTCTCAATGTCCCCAATGTCCCCTATCCCCAATGTCCCTTCAGTGTCCTCA